TGATGGAAAAGTAAAACATCATCTGAACCACCACCCAGGCTCGTTTGTGCCTTTACCCAAAGCCCAAGTATGCCAGCTGGTCACCCAGCTCCCGACGCTCGCCTTTGCCAGCTCGTCCACAGTGGTCTCCTTCCATTCAGCCACAAGAAAAATACGATCTCTGACAAAACAGCTACTTCAAACTCTGGCCTCTGGCACCATATTGAACACCCCTGTTTACATGTCGCGACGATCGTTGGCAGAGGAACCTGGTCATCCAGTGTGTTCATGTTCAATTTGTTGATGCCCTCTTTACTAACTACATGGAGATCACGAGACTTTCAACATCTTACAATGAACAAAGAACGGGACTGAAGTAACAAGAAAGACCAAGGCATGCCAGAGCCAGAGAATATCCCATTGTTTGTTCTATTGCAGTCCCCTACAAAGTTCCTTTCGAACATCACTCTCCATACCCCGTTGCATGTATAATTCATATATATATATAGATTAGAGTAATTAGTGCTGTGAAAAGAACCTTATCAAGCGATTGTTTTTGTTCGTCCCTTGAGTGGGGCTGCCCTAACAGGCGAAAGAGAAGTGCGATGCACTTCTTTCAGCAACGGTCCCGGTGCCAGTCACGGGAAAGGTAGAAATTGGAACATTGTCTTGCATTTCCAATTGGTAACTTGACAAGGACTTGCAGGAATTGCCAAGGACTTTGTGATAATTGGAACAAGGACTTGTATTGGAACCTTGACAAGGACTTGTAGGAATTGCAAGGTTCCTTTGCAACGCATCTACACAAATGTTTGAAAGCTATATCATGACCGAGATTGCATGCCTTCACTTGATATGAACGCTTTTCTCTACTGTGAAGACTTATTCGCACCGTTGCACACCTGACAGGGTCTTTTTGCAGTTGGAGCAAAGGATGGGAAAAGATCAGACCACATCAAGAGGAGCAGCAATCCCTTCAAGACAGGCTTGATGTTCGTGTGGGCGTTATCTTCTAGATTGATATATGAAGAACTTGAAGAACCACAAAAGGTTGCTGTTCCCTAGGGTTCCAGTCCCACAACCTCAAAAAGTTAATTAGACACCGCTGGCACCCACCCCAACCACCTTTGTGGGTGTCAAGAAAAAACGCACCAAATGCTTCAACAGTGCATCCCAAACACTGGTGCCATGTTGTTTTCTAAATCAGTTTCAGTCCTCCAAGAAGCGAAAGCTTCTGCGCTCTTGGCTCACAAGAAGGAGCTCTTCAGCGACCTGAGCTCCGGAAAAACATCCCATATTGAGTAGTTGATGTAATTTACCTGCAATTTGGGGTGCTTTCCCCACAAAAGGACAAGCAAACTGCAGAGACAGACATGCTAGTGATCTACTTCAACAAGTGGTTTACACTCCCTGAAGCAGCCGAAAAGGAGGCCAGGACGTGCCGGTGTCAACACTCCCTGCAACTGCTCGCTTCGGGGAGGGTGCTTCCTGTTTGGCGCGGTTCCAGGGTCCAGCACCTGGGTTGATTCCAGGACCCACGATGCTTCGTCACTGCTTGGAATGAGTATAATGGAGGGGAAGGACTAGGGTTGTTGGGAAGACGCCGCGGGTGGATTTTCAGGACGTGACGCCGCCACGTTGTCACAAATGGATGACAGCTCGGCTTTTCTCGATGTGGTGGGGTGGATCCTCCCGGATGGATCTCACCTCGAGAGATGGCCCTATAGGATTACCAAGAGAGGTTACAGTAAGTGACCTGACAAGGACCCTACTGGGGTACCTTTGGATAGGGTCCTTCAACTCCTCTGTATTGCCCAAGCAAAGACCCCATGAAGTCGCTTGAGGGCGGAATCCGGGGCTGCATCCATTCATGTTCGGACACCTAAGAAACCGTGGGATGTATCCAGAAGCTGTTCCACTTCACTCTTGCCCAACCGCTCCATATCTGCCATCTTTAGCCGATCAACTGGGGCGGTTGAACTGGGGTCAATATAGGCACGTGTATAATTATGTTGGGCGATGGCAGCCATACATGGCCAACCATCAAATAGTTTTTTTGCGAAAAAAAAAAAAAAGTGAAAAAAGCAAAATAAAAGCAAATGAAAATGCAAAAA